AGGTGCTTTAGACCACTGAGCCATCTCACCAGCCCCTTCTTGATCACTTTTAGAGCATTGTGTTTTGACTGAGTGTTTAAAAATATTCTGCTGCCTATATAGTATTTGGGAGCAGCAAATCAGAAGAATTGTAGTTGCTGAGAATGCTTCAAAGAAATACCGGTCTTTATCTTTTCCCCAGCCTTTTCCGCTAAAACCCACCAGAGTCTTTTCTGAGCACACTTGTTCTATAAATAGACTAGCAGATCTCCTTGGGCAGCCCAATATTGCAAGCTCTCATCTGCTTTTTGAAAGATTGTATTTTGTGTGTGCACACACTGGAGTGGAATGTGTTTTAATTTTTCTTTTATGTGTTAGATGGGTAGGAGATTCAAGAAAAAAAATACTCTAGCATCTGTCAGTTAAAGATAACTTTCAGCTTCTCTGTTTGGCTTGTTGTTTTCTCTTTTTAAAAATGTGCATGTAGGAAGGCGATGGAAGCGATATCTTTCCCTGCAGAGGTAAGGAAGGTGAGTAGGGCAGAGGAGGAGTCTACCCAGGGGTCTGCAGAGGGCAGGGCTCAGGAGTTTGGCCTAGGCATATGTGGCTGCTGTGGCCAATGAGATGGGAAGGGTGCTCAGACCAGACCCTAGTTCCAGCTCTCCCACACTTCAGTTTGCTTCATGCTGCAGCTTCTAGGTCCTTGTTCTGTTTCAGCATGGGACCCCCCTACCAGTGGCTGCAGCCTGATGCATTTATATCTTTCCTGGATGTTGTTAGGCTCGGCTGGGATTCTCTCTGTCACTCTTGTTATCTGGGAGAGAGGACAGGAGACCCCTGCAGAGTGCAGGGGAGGTGGAAGCCAGAGTGGTTCTTCCCCAGGTCCCTGTCCTTTGAGAGCCGTAGAAAGAGCAGCTAGTGGTAGCATAGTTGGCAGGCGCAGAGCCCAAACCTTAATGCGGGGACCCTGGGTGATGGGGACCTTGTAGGTGTGGTGGTGGGTGCCAGCAGGTGTGCCACTTGGTCCAGCGAACATGTCCTGCAGTGTAGGAGCAGAGGCCCTGGGCCCTGAGTGCTGCCGTGGGTACACTGGGCCCTGTGTGTTTGATGGGTGTGGCTTGCTCCTGCATCCTTGCCTGCTTGCCCACTTCACCCCTGTGATGAGCAGGCTGTGGGAGTCTGCAGTGAGACTGTGTGCTGCACTTAGAGCTGGCACCTTTGGGTGCATGAGTTTCTGGTTCACACATTTTATTTCAGGAAGTTTTAAGTGGATCCTGAAACTTCAATACTTTGTATATACAGCTTTTATTTATTTATTTTTTTTAATTTTTAGTTTATTTGTGTGTGTGTGTGTGTGTGTGAGTGTGGCCAGCTCAGCCCACCAAGGGGCGGGGCTGGCTGGCATGTGGTGCTGGGGGATTGAACCACGGTCCCTGTGCTTTGCTTAAGCTTGTTCTAAGTAGGTGCTTTGGGGGCCTGCCCCTTAGCTCAGTTCTTTTTTTTTATTTTCTTTTATTTTTTTTTCAAAGTTTTATTGATAAACAGATAGCAATGAGACAGTTTCAAATCAAATCGGAAGTACAGTTTCAACAAATATTACACTGCATATATTCTTCTTAGTGGTTAATTGCTGTACAAGATGCGGACTTGTGATCCTATTTATTAGCTCAGTTCTTTAAGTGGCTGCTTCAACAAAGCAGTCAGGCTCAGGTTGCTGTGGTTCGATCTCCACAACACAAGCCAGTCATGCCTTGAAGGCATTTGGAGCAAAAAACAAAACAAAACAAAACACTAAGTAGGTGTTTTAGACCACTGAGCCATCTTTTTTTTTTTTTTTAATGTATTTGGTATAGAGTCTCACTGTGCAGCTGTTGCCAGCTCAGCACACCTGGGGACAGGGATGGCGTGGCATGTGGTACCAGGGATTGAACCCTGGTTCCTGTGCTTGCCTAAGCAGACACTTAGTCCACTGAGTTATCTCGGGGGCCTAGGAATAGGTAGTTAAAAGGAACTATTTCTCTGAACTAGTGTGCTTGTCCCCGGATAGAAATTTTAGAAAATTTCCCCTTTTCTGCGCAGAGATTCCTTGTGGCATGGTGTTTTCCTTGTGGCATGGTGTTGCTGCTATTTGTGGTATAAGAAGGTATTAAATGCCAAGAGCCAGGTTCTGGTTCTTCTGTGTATTTATTACTTTATGTTTTTTCTCCTGGGGAGCTGAGGATGGGACCTAGGTCCTTGTACCCACTGGGCCATGGCCCTGTCCCTCATTTGTTTCACTTCTTAGTGGCTTCAGGATGTCTCTTGATGGAACAGTTCCCTGAATGTTTGACTTCCAAGTGGTGTCCAGGGTCAGTGTCCTTTAGGGGCCCTATGCACAGGACACATGAGGGGAGGATAGCTCTAGAGAAGCTGTGTCTCTCAGTTCTTGCTGTAATTGAGCCAGGGTGAGTTTTGTGCCGAGGTGAGCACCCCTCCCCCAGGTGGTGGCTCATCAGTGCTAGAGGAGGACATGTGTGTTAGTGGGACCATGGCACTTCTGTCTCATCCATGGGCACAAATATTTGTGCCAGCCTGTGAGCTGTAGAGTCAGTGCAGTAGAGCACAGGCCTGGAGCTATGCTGAACCCTGGAGCAACGGACATAGAAGTTTGGCAACAGGATCCTGAGAAATGGCAGGAGGCCAGAGAACATGGAGACAGGGCCAAGAATAGCTGAAAAATACCAGATGCTAAAGTTGGGGAATGTACTGGCCTCATATCCCACTTGTCTTCCCAGTTGCCACTTACTGCCATCCTGTGAGCCTCAGTTTCCCTTCTGCTAGTTGGCCAGCATATCCAAGGCTCCCCCGGGGCTCTGCAACCTCCCCAGCACAGATATGCTGCTATCCTGTGGAGTTGGTATCCCACCCCCACACCCCCAGCAGCAGACTCAGTTGGGCACAGGTCAGGGGCTGTGTGAGTGTGAGAACTAGTGCTCCGGGGGATTCTTGGCCCCTTGGAGACACAGTGTGCCTGGCCCAGCAGGGCGAGTTTTAGCCAATTGCAAAAGAACACCTTTAGAGCGCATGTTCATGGGTCTCTTTCTGTACTTTCAGACTGTCATCAAAGAGGGGATGCTGACCAAACAGAACAGTTCATTCCAGCGATCAAAAAGGAGATACTTTAAACTTCGAGGCCGAACACTGTACTATGCGAAAACTGCAAAGGTGAGGTCCACTGAGAGGGACACTCAGGGCCTGCAGGGTAGGGGCTGAGTCCTCGAGGGCAGGTGGGAGTGTGGGCAAGTAACCGATTCTCAGACTGTTGCTTCCAGCTAGCTCTGTGATACTTGGGGTATCAGGTTTTGTCTCAAGGCATATTTTCCTTTTCAGAAAAATTATTATTTTTTTCATTTTTCTCTATTGCCATTTATCACAGGTGGGAAAAGCAAAAAAGGGTCACAGAGTTAACCACAGTTGGATACTTCCTTTTAGAGAGGTAGAGGTTTATAGGCTACAGATCTCTTACATAGGCTTAAAAGTTCTTTTTTGAAGTACAAGGGGGATCTTGGGGTGTGAACAGAAAGGTGGGGTTCATTCATTGTTTCTAGGCTTTCTAGCACATAGGCAGCTTCCTTGGTCCTGGGTACAGCTGGAGGAGAGGCTTTGGTGCTGTCGCTTGATGAGTATGGTGCCAGTCATTTCAAAGTGTGGTGACTGCGACCTGAACATCTGTAGTTTCTTAGCATTTTTGGTGGCAGTACTGATATTTTGATATTGAAAATACATGGAATTGGAATCATTTTTTGAGATGTGTCCCTAGAGAGTTAGTGGCTAAAATTGAAAGGAAACAAAGCAGCTTGTTTAGAAAGGGGTCTGGCCATAGGTTACTTAAAAGGCTGAACCTCAGAGGAAAAAGTTGAATCGCTTATTTTTTTTTTGCGGAACCGGGGATTGAACTCAGGCCCTTGCACTTGCCAGGGAAGCGCTTATTCCACTGAGCCATCTCCTCGGCCCTTGAATCTCTTCTTTTAGTTACTAGTTTTTCCTCCGGGAGTTTTGGATAAAGTCATCTTAGAACAGAGGGAATGGTGAAGTTAATGGGAGGGGGGCTGTGATGTGGCCACTTTGGAGGAAGAGGAGATGAAAGTGGGAGTCCTCATGGCCGCTTCTCAAACCTTGCAAGGAGCCTCGCTGTCTGTTGCACTCCTAGGAGTTCCGGCCTGCTGTTGAGGGCCTACCTCTCCCCTTTGAATAACTTATTTCAGCTAAATGTGCACTTTGGGGAACTAAAGCCACAGGAACGACAGAGGGGCCTCTGTCTGCTCGGGCTTTCTCTCAGGTAGATTGCTGAGGACACAGTTGTATTTACACATGAAATATTAGTGTTAAGGTAATGTTTGATACAAAAAAATCAGAACAGAAAGATCAGCCTTGGTTTTTAAATTTTTGAGTTTCTTTCTACCAATGCCATCACTAATGAACTCCTACAGTAAAAGAAACCACAGTGTCCCTGTGAGCTGTAGGCGGGTGGGTACAGCGGTTTGGTGTTGGTGTACTGATTGGCAGCCACATTTTCAGGCAGTCTGAGCTTACTGGGGTGGGGAAGGTGGGCATGGCCAGCACTTGGGTTGCCTGTGTTGTATGCCTGAGTCCCCTGATTCTCTCTCCAGTCCATCATATTTGATGAGGTGGACCTAACAGATGCCAGCGTGGCTGAATCAAGCACCAAAAACGTCAACAACAGCTTTACGGTAAGAGTTGGAGTTACACTTTTCTCATTCTCCAGCATGCTTGGCTCTTTTTGATTTGAATAGAGCTTGCAAGCACTTTGCACTTTTTTGTACTTCTTTGTACTTTTTTTCTGATTGGAATGGTTCCTGGTAAATTTTGTCTCTAAAGCTGAGAATAGTACTGTGGCTGGAGAATAACTGAGAATTTGGCACATAGAAACCCAAGAGACCCAGTGAGTCCAGATGATCTTTTTTTCTAATATGATGCAATTTTCATCTTAACAGTTTGGTACAGATGCTTGTTGTTTTTTTGTTTTTGTGGTTTTTTTTGAAAAATGCAGAAAAGTATGTCAGAGAAGTTGAAAAGCAGCCATAATTTAGGCATTTTGATAATAGCTATGTTTGTTGTATCTTTTATTTAGTACATTTAAGCTTTCCCTCCAAATTTATGAACCCTGTCTGTCTGTCTGTCTGTCTGTCTGTTCATTCCAATCTGAGGATTGAACCTGGGACCTCACATGTGGTACTGAGCTATATCCCCAGCCCTATAGTTCTACAGTACTTTGTGTATGAGATTCTAAGGGATAAAATCACAGGCTCACACCCCTTAGGTATTGTCACTGTTTATCTTGGGCTTTACTGCAAGCACTGAATTCTTTTTTTTTTTTTTTTGGCAAAACCGGGGATTGAACTCAGGCCCTTGTGCTTGCTAGGGAAGCGCTTATTCTACCAAGCCATCTCCCAGCCCCTGAATTCTTTCATATGTATTTTCTCCCTAGTGATTTTTTTCCCCCTAGTGATTTTTGATGGACATTTTTTTATGCCTGCTGATCTAAGTGTGCATCATTATGCAATGGCTATATTGCATTTTCTTACATAACTACATTTTTTGGTGTCATAGGCTAACTTTAGAATCTAGTGATGCAAGGAATGACTATAATGGCCACACTAGCATCTTAAAATATTTTTATTATTAATCTATTTCATTTAGATCTAAAGTTTTTTTTTTGGGAGGGCTTTATGAGACAAGATTTCACTACATAGTTCAGGCTGGCCTTGAATTCACAGCAGTGTTCTTGCCTCAGCCTCCTGAGTGCTGGGATTACAGGTGCGTGCCACCACGCCCAGTCTCAGTTGCCGTCTTGGGGCTGGCACGACAGGCCCGGGGATCGAACCCCCGGTCCCTGCACCTGCTTGCAGTTGTTTTAATCCACTGAGCTATTTGTCCAGCCCGTCCTGAAAGTTTTATTTCTTGTTTTTTGGTAACTTGAGTATTTTTAGTTGAGTTAATTTTCATCCTTACTCATTTTGTATAGCATATGCTATTGTGCATCTTAAGCATCTTTGTCTTTGGTTAGAACCCCTTTTCATTACTAAATTTATTTGTTTAGTTTGCCTGTTGTGAGACAGGATCTTGCTATGCGGTTCAGGCTGGTCTCAAACTCACAAAGGTCCTCCTGCCTCAGCTTTCCAAGTGCTGGGATTATAGACATGCGCCAGCATGCCTGGCCTAGTTTGCTTTTTGGTTACTTTTTAAAATTTGTTTTCTTGAGAATCAGTTTATAAATGAGTGATCAGTTCCACTTTTGTGTTTCTTGACCAGGTTTTTTTTTTTTTTTTAGCTGAAAGTCCTGAATATTTGACCAGTTTAGTTATTGGTTGGCTTATTTTTCTTTTTTTAAATGCCCGCGTGTGTACACACACACACACACACACACACACACACACACACGAGAATGTGAGGTCTCCTGAATTTGCAGGTCTTTCTGTTTGCATTTTATTTTATTTTATTTTATTTTATTTATTTATTTTTCCTCTCATTGGGTGTGGTGGCACATACCTGTAATCCCAGCTTCTTGTGAGTTTAGGGCAGGAGATTAGAAGTTCAAGGCCAGCCTAGAAAATTTAGGGAGACCCTGTCTCAAAAAAAGATGGGGGGGTATGGGGATGTAGCTTAGTGCTTGCCTAGCAAGTACCAACCAACCCTGGGTTCAGCTCTCTTTATAGTGTGGAGGGAAGAAAAAAGCAATGTTTTCTGAGCATGTTATGGAAAATAAAAAGTATATGAACGTAATTTAGGACATTTAAAATCACTTCTATCTTTTGATTTTTTGTTTGTTTGGTTTCTTAAGACAGACTCTCGTTATATAGTCCAGAATGGCCTTGAATTCAAAATTCTGCTTCAGCTTGTCATGTGCTGGGGTATATGGGGTGTACCACTATGCCTTGCTCTAAAGCAACCCCTACTCTTTTCCGAAGATATTTAGCAATCTATTTTGGTTTATATTATTCCTACCAAATGCATTTCATAAAATAGTTTTTAAACTTTTTTCACCTAGTACTTTCTAAATGTTATTAATGTTGGATCATATTCCACTGTATAAATAAATATTTGGTCCATCTATACTATTGAACATTCCTTTTCTTACCATACATAGTGTTGTGATGTACAGTTGTGCAGAGGCTTTTTGCATATTTCTGAATGTTCCCATAATGTAAATTCTTAGAGTGTTATGAGATCAAAAGTATGCATTTTCAAGAGGCTCTTGAAAAAAAAGTACAGTGCATACTAGCTTTTTTTTTTTTTTGTGGTACTGGGGATCAAACTCAGTACCTTGTACTTGCCAGGCAGGCGCTTATATTGCTGAGTTATCTCCTTGGCCCCTGGTGCATGCTAGCTTTCTGGGCCTTGAAAATACAGTGCTAAATGAGAGAAGCCAAACAAGAAAGGTCATGTTAAAAAAAAAAAAAGGTCATGTATATTACAATTACATGTATATGGCGTGTCCCCAGCAGACATGTGTGCATGCAGGAAGTGAATGGATAGTTTTGGGGGACGTAGGGAAAGGAAGAATTTCTAATTGACATAGCATTTTTTTTTGGTTGATGAAATACCCTAAAATTAGAAAGGTCTTAAACTTTGTAAATATACTAAAATCCTGAGTGGTACACTTTAAAAGTACTCATGAATTATATTTCAATAAATATTATAGAAGTGGAGCTGGGTGGCTCACGCCTATAATCCCAGAGCTCGGGTGGCTGAGGCAAGAGGCTTGCCCTGGATTTGAGGCAGCTTGGACTGCCTAGTGAGAGTCCCTATTTCACCCACCCCGCAAATTAGAAAAATAGCACAGCACTGTGTATGCTTCTGGTACTGTATGAATGCCTACAAGAGCTCTGTCAGGCAGTCTGAGGAGGGGCCTGGTTTGTATTGTCCCTGTGGGAGCTGTGTTGCGAGTGCCAGGTAGTTGTGTCCAGACTAGAACCTGTCTGCCGGAAGCCTTGGCCACTGGGCCTCCCTGTGCAGGCTGGCTTTGGTGATGTCACCCCCCTCCCCTGTACTCCCTCCTCCGTTTATTTTAGGTGTTGTTAGTGTTCTGAGAACTAAGTGCCTTTTCATCTGAAAAGTGTGGGGAAGACAAGAAAAAGATGAAAACTGAGGTTTCCCAGAAACATGCTCCCTGGAGAGGCTCATTCATGGGTGCTCAGGAAGAGGCTGGAGCAGGGGCATCGGGAGGGTTGGAGGCCTCCCTCCTGCCCAGTGAGGCCTCCTTATGGAATGAGTTAGTTTGGGTCCTGGGGCTGGTGCTGATTCCAAAATTTCTTTATATAAAATTCATGCTTTATGACCTTTCCCAAGCTCTCTGTGGGACCTGTTAGTCTCCAAGCTGGCGAGCTGCAGGAGTCTGTTCACAGTCTGCATGTAGCTGGTAGGTCCTCCCAGAGGCAGGCCCAATGTGGGCTTTGGGCCCCACCCCAGAGCTTGGCCTTGAGCCTGGCAAGTGGCTTGAATGTGCAGAATGGACAGGTGCATCAGGCTTGGCTTCCATTCAGGCCAGTAGTAATTCCCAATTTCCACATTGTGCCTGCACTGCATGCCCAGTATGAATGCCCAGTCAGTAGACTGCTGCGTGAACTGAGTCACCTCACAGATGGGAGCTATTGTGGTTTGAGTGACATGAATACATTAATTCCACATGAGAGAGGGACCCTTTTTTTCCTCTTTTTTGGGGAAGGGTACTGAGAATCGAATGCAGGACCTTGCCAGGCAGGCACTTGTGCCACTGAATTGTATCCCCCGCCTCCAGGACATTCCTCTTGAAGGCCAAAGACCAGCGCCATGAAGAGATGGGCTTAGACTTCTAGGGAGGTAGGACAAGACATGGGAGGGAGGAGAGACTTTTAGGCAGATACGATGGGAGAATGGTGCAAATGAGCTGGAGCGGATTCTGATTGTCTTAACAGAGCAAAGCAAAGCTTCAGGACAGCTAGATATTAGCCCTAAGTGTTACCATTTTGCTCATGCTGGGTGGAGCTCTGGTATGGAGAAGTGTCCTCGTGTCCCTGCATTCTCATCTTCATGGGTGCCACCCCTGCAGGGCCAAAACCTGGCAGCAGTAACTCAGCACTGTCCTTAGGATCAGGCACATTAGCTTGAGTCAGTAGGTACAAAAGGCCTTTGTTATGTCATGACCAGATGTCTCAGAGCTCACACCTGTTCCTGTCTGTTACTCAGTCCCCTGTGGTCTTATTTTCTGTTCACTTGAGCATATGCTTTGTGCTTTGGGAACTGTGTTCACCTCTTTAGTTGTTGACTTGGCAGGGGGTTTTGAGGGTTTTCTGGCCATCCTCTGCCCTGTGCTTGTGGTCCCAAGATGAGGAGGAGCCCTTCTTGGCATGCTGTGTCCAGGTGGGGACCAGGAAGACTTAGTCTATTGTGAGGCTGTCTTTGAATGTCCAGGATCTGTATTTCTTTCACTAGATACAAGACCCTACCTGTATAGCAGGAAGAGGTTATGGTTCACCCCTCCCTTCTTCCCATTCATTTCTGGCAGTACGAAACCTTTCAGGTTAGCAGTGCTTAAAAGTAAGGATTCCAAAAGCCAATGTGAGTCCCACCTCAGCCTCCTGTCTGATGACCTTGGTAAGTCACATATACGCCTGAGCCTGTGTTCTTGTTTAAGCAATGGGACTAATAATAGTATCTGCCTTTGGGGTTGTTGTGAGGATTAAATGAAGTA